AGGAAGGTCCTGAAAGAGACATATAGCCGTTGTTCTTTTATGAAAATGACTAAATACTGAAATAATAATAATTACAATAAAAAATACAATAATAGAAAATGAATATAAAATGTGCAACATTCACTTTGTTTCTGTTATTTTATGGACATAAATAAAGACTATAGTATTACTACTACTAATAATAATAGTAATAATAATAATACAGACCCAAACTATTACTATTTTACTGTGCTGTTTTTTTTTTTAGACAATTAAAGGTAAGGTCTGCTCAATTTCTATTATACTAATAAAAGATCTTCATATTTAAATCATCATATTTGCTTTTCTTTAGTAGGTCAGTGTCATAATCTGGCTCAGAGGCTATTATAAGAAGTGGAAAGGACACAGCTTTGCAAGAAGTAACAAATATTTATTATAACAAATAACTTAAACACAACTAGAAACATGAGGTGTGGTTGTCTGTCGTATCAGTGGTGTTCATGTGGATGAGTGTGAGTGTAAATTCAGGTTGCTGTGGAGTAAAAAGTAAGATAACTAGCGAACAAAGTAAAAGGTGCTGACAGGGATGAGAGAATGAGAGAGGGAGCCACGCAGGAAGCGGGAGCTTTTATATCCAGCAGACACTGCGCCCAGGTGCTCCAGATCGGAGTGGATCTGCTCCACCAGCTCCTCTGGCCCCTCCAAGACCAAACACACATTAGTGACAAGGCCCCCACACTGATATACACAGGGGCCGTCACATTAGGTAGAACTTGCAATGTAATCTTGTTAAGGATGACCCCCTGTGTACAAATGGGAGATCTGGAGTAATTTTACTGTACAGTTTTTAAAAGAATTAAAGGGAAATTTTGGCTCAATTTTCATTATAATCTCATATTTGAATTATAAATTATTTGTATTATAAAAATTGAGCGAACTTTTCTCCAGAACTGGACAGTAAAATCTGTACAGTGGGTCGTCCTTAAAATTTATATTGCAAGTTTTAGTTAACCTACTACAGAAAAGGAAATATTTTTATTCATGAACATGAAATAGATTATACCTTTAATTATCTAAAAAACAACACAGTAAAATCTGTATAAATCTGACATAGTCATAGTCTGTATTATTATTAGTAGTAGTAGTAATACTATAGTCTTTATTTATGTCCATAAAATAACAGAAACAAAGTGAATGTTGGACATTTTATATTCATTTTCTATTATTGTATTTATTACTGTAATTATTATTATTTCAGTATTTAGTCATTTTCATAAAAGAACAACAGCTATATGTGTCTTTCAGGACCTTCCTACCATAATAACCCTACTGTAGGTGCAAGGACATTCTGACTGCAGCTCACTTTACCACAGTGAGTAACTAAAAAGAGAGAAATAACATAAAATCAATAGTAGGAAACATATATTTGGTTGCACCGGGCAGTGAAGTTAGAAATATTGTGTATAAAAGAAAAAAATAATTAAACTGTTTAAAATGTTAAAGTTATGTAACAAATGAAAGTTAACATTATATCAACTTTAAAATAATTAAACAAAACCTTTTTCTTTCTCACTGACTCAGATATAATATTGTAAAATATCAGAGTCTGAAGTTTGACACTCGGTGCAGAGATCAGTTAGTTTTAGAAGAGGAAGAGGAGACGCCCAAAACACACACACACACACACACACACACACACACACACACACACAAACAGGGGTGGACTGGGACAATAATTCAGGCCGGGAATTTGATCCTATCCCAGGCCACCACCCGATTAATGAGTGAGTTAGGTTGTCGCCTACTGATGTAAGAGTGTAAGATAATAAAGCAAAGGCTCCACGTGCGCCCACACACAACTTTTTCTGTTTCTTTCTCCTACAAAATAAATGTTTCTGTTCACTTATTAACCATTTTTATATGCATTGGCTATGTTCATATAACAACAAATATGTTCTTAATCTCAATGGGATTTTACCGGGTTAAATAAAGGTTAAATGAAACAATATAATACAAGGATTTCAATATTCATATAATTTATTATGTTGTTTCTATAGTTACACGCAACTTGGTGTGTGTGTGTGTGTGGGTGTGTGTGTATGTGTGTGTGTGTGTGTGTGTGTGTGTGTGCCTGCAGTGCTGTGACAGAGAGCCTCAGAAAAAGAGAGGAGGGGGTGTGTTTGTGCCCAACGTTGCTGCTCAGTCTGTGTGAGCTTCAGTGAGGCAGATACCCTGATGAGCCGCACGACGGATTGTTTATTTCAAAATCAAGCGCGACCCGAACCGAGAAAATGTCCCGGTGCTCCAGATGGCCAGTCCGCCACTGCACACACGCACGCACATACACAGAAACACGCACACAATAACATACTGAATATATCCATCATACGGCTGTATATGATCACAATGATGATGTAATCAAGTCAATCAATAATATCGATTATCAGGATGCATTTTACATCACGTTACAGCTGTTTGCTTTGGTTTCAGACAGCTTCAGAAATAAAAGAAGAGTGATGAGTTTTCTTACTGTGATCAGCAGCCGTTCCTGCAGACCAGGTCAGCAGACAGAGACACACGAGAGGAAGAAGATCCATAGTCTTCCTCTGAGGATGAAACATCAGCTCACTGATCAGCTCTCTTTAGAACGGAACCTCAGACACTCCTCACTGCGTACAGACCGATCTCAAACACTTTCTGTTTCACAGTTTCTGCAAATTTCAACGACAGGAAGAAATCCTTCAGAATAAAAGCATAATCTATACCTTTGATTTATGAATTCTGCAGAACAAACTGCTCCAATCTGTCAGAATCCTCCACCTGAGCAGAACTTTATCTTCACATGAATCTATTCATCCATATGTTCACTGCACATTTCCACCTTTACTGTTAGTTTATTGAGCTTTCAGACAACACAATTTAAAATAGTATAAAGCCAGAAAATAAAATGTGCAATTATCTAAGATACAAACTAATATCTCATATCACAAATCCAATGTTAAAGCACAAATGTCAGAACTTCTGTTGACCTGTAGCTCAACTTTCAGTGCAGTTTCTCCACAACAAAAGCAAATGAGGAAGTTGATTCTCTTCTCTGAAAACCTCCTAAAGTTCCTTAATCAGCAGAGAAAGTTTGATTTGTCTTCTGAAAGGAGACCCTGGCTCGCCCCATCAGAAACATCAGCAGCCAAAGTTATCCAGTCAGTTAGGTGTTCAACTATCAATAACCTTTATCATATGTTTTTATATATATAATTATATATATTCACTGTTTCTGTGCCTGAATAACCATCCATCCATCCGTCCATCCATCCATCAATCCATCCATCTGTCCATCTGTCCGTAATGTAACAGAGAACTGACACACAGGGGCAGAGAGGACAGTCAGTCCACAGCTGGGAAGCCAACCACCCACCTCTGAAATTCTACCAATTCAAATAAAACAGCACACTAATAAAAACGTGCCGCCATCAGAAGTGAGTGAACTCCCAGAACTCCAACCACACTGTGTCTGGAGGCCACCAGCAGCTGCAGCACTAGAAACAAAAACCCTCCAGTATATAAAGTCAATTATACAAATAACAGTGGAAATAAAGACACTAAAACTAAAACACACAGCAACAAAGTGTGTGAGGCGGCCGTCTGCAGTCTCCACACCTGCTGCACAGGAGCTCATCACTTTGTGGCTCTCACCTGAGAAAGGACTTACTTCAGGTGCAGAAGCTCAGAAATAACACACACACACACACACACACACACCCACACACACACACACACATAACAGCAAGTGACATTTCCTGTGGCTGCTTCATAATAAAAGCTAAATGGTGTTTTGGAAATGGAATACTTTTAATGTGAAGGAACAGCAACAGGAAATGTTTGGTTTCGATTAACAGTGAATGCTCCAGCATTAACAATGAATAAAACATTAATAATAGTTGTTGTAATAAAGGCTCAGGTGCCTTGAACTCATCATTGTTACCTGTGGCACAGGAAGATGACGTCTCGTTCTTAGAAGTTTCTGATTGGCTCTGTAGATTTTCCAATCAAAGAAACAGCTGGTGTGGAACATTTTATCCCCTCACAGACTGTCACTGTGAGAAAACACCCTCTGCTGACACAATAAAGACTTAAATACAACAAACACATCGTAGCCAACTGGCATTTTCCATGGCTGAGAAATACAGTTTTCTACAACCGCATAACGCATAACATCTTTTTGTTCAATCTGTAGTCACATTTTCAAAACTCTAAACACAGTTAGCCTGACATCAGTCTGTTCATACCATACAATTAACACAATTCATGTTGTTTCCACAGAATATGCAGTCAATTAACCCATTTCTACAATGCTACATTTTTCTTTACGTACAAGCTCACCCAATACCAAAACTATGGATGTTTTTTGTGTTATTTACAAATGCTTACACACAACATGCCAGAAATAAAGACCTTATAATAATAAATATTGCATAAAGTATCTACTTCTGCAACAAAAGAAGTTCAAAATCTATATTAAACAGATGATAAGCATTTCTTAATGAACATATCAATGAAACATTGAAAAATAGCTGATTTATTGTAATCTGGGTAAAATAGATCAAACACAGCTAATTCCAGTCTCAATCAGAGACATAGCCAGGTGAGGAATTTATTTCAGTTACATACACAATGCAGTATAAAGGGGACTTTCTGGACTGAGTTTATTCAGTGTGGACACAGAACAGCACAGATGAGGAGAGAAAGAAAGAAAGAATAATGTCTGGACAAGGAAGACGAATAGTTGGGCCAGGGAGAGGAAGAGGGCCAGGGAGAGGAGTAATTGGACCAGAACCAGGGAGAAGGAGAGGTAGGGGGAGAGGAGTAAGAATGGGTGGTGGTGTTCAAAGGAGAGCTGTTGTCACTAATGAAATAAAAACAACCATCATAAATTGAATTCCATGGAATGGCAGCTCCTACCATTGTTGTAGTTTCACTGTGTTTTTTGCTATTTTTAACCGTTTTCTTACTTTCTTACTTTCTTACTACTTTGTTCACATCGCCTAAATACTTTTTGGGCGTTTTTGAGCACTTTTTATTTTTTGTTTGCACGGGTCTCCATGGCGACGGCGAGCCGCATTGTTTACACCCGCGACCAGATGATCGCCCTGAGGTACCCGAGCATCCTGACCGGAGAGAGACCCTCCATACCGGAGGAGCTGAGGAGACGGTGAGGCTGCAGAGCGGGGGTTAAACGGAGGATGAAGAAGAGGAGCTTTAAACCCTACAAACGTGGCTACACGAGCAGATACCGGACTCCAACGTCACCATTCCCGGCTTCCAGACGGTTCGAGCCGACAGGGACAGAACCGGGACCGGCATGAAGAAAGGAGGGGGACTGTCCGTGCTCATCAACAACAGGTGGTGTAACGCCGGGCACGTCTGTGTGAAAGAGCGTCTGCAGCCCGGACATCGAGCTGTCACCGTCGGACCTCGTCCCTGTGGTCTGCCACGGGAACTTTCCAGTGTTGTCGCCATCACTGTCTATATTCCTCACAGTGGTCTTCATCATCATCATCACTGTTTACATTTATGATGTCTTTTATTCTCCTGTACAGCACTTTGGTCAACTTTGGTTGTTTTTAAAGTGCTTAACAAATAAAGTTAGATTGGATTGGATTGGATCATAGATCATGTGATAAACGATGGTCTATCAATGAGAGAGGCTGGTGAAAGAGTCCAGCCTAATCTCAGACAGTCTACCGTGGCTTCCATTATCGGGACTTTTCAACAAACCAACAGGTAAGCAATTCCAGTAATTTCACATGGGCTTCCTCTACCATTACAGTAAAGTTGCTATCTCTCATAGTAACTGTAGGCCACCAGTCCCAATGCAAATACAGTATGTTGTATTTTTGTTCCTCTAGGACGCAAGTCTTCCTCCCTCTGGGGGAAGAGGAAAGCTCCTCAGTGAAGACCAAGAGCATGCCATTGTAGGACTGGTCATTGCTGACAATACAATAAAACTAAAGACAGAAATTCAGACCAGAATTGTTGAGGACAACGTAGTATTTCACAATGTGGAAAGCATTAGCCTGACCACCATTGCTCGGACTCTGAGCAAACACAGATGAAACAGTTGTACACAGTACCTTTTGAAAGGAACAGTGAGCGGTTCAAGGAACTCAGACACCAATACGTCCAGGTATGGTATCTATCCAATATGTCTTGTTCTATAGTGAGTTTTATAATTTGTTGCTCTACATGTAAACATGAGTTACGGTACTGATACTGTGTTGGATATCCCTCAGAGAGTCATGGAGTTCGAGGTTAATCAAACCCCACATGATACCATTTATGTGGACAAGGCAGGGTTTAACCTGGCAAAGACAAGTCGGCGGGAAAGAAACGTCATTGGAAAAAGGGCCACCGTTGATGTGCCGGGTCAGAGAGGAGCAAATATTACAATGTGTGCTGCAATCTCAAGTGCTGGTTTGGTTCTGCACAAATGCCAGATTGGTCCCTACAATACCGAGCGACTTCTTTTGGTTTTAGATGACCTCCACCAACGACTAGTGCCAGAAGCAGAAAGGGAACAGGTTGGAGGAAACCTGAGGACATTTGTAATTGCATGGGACAATGTTGCATTTCACCATGCACATGCAATCACAAACTGGTTTGAGGCCCATCCAAGAATGGTTTCCCTTTTCCTCCCCCCTTACTCGCCTTTCCTCAACCCCTCAGCTGAAGACTGCCAGGGGTGGATAAGGCATGCTAAGTGTTTCTATCCAAGGTGCACAGCGAGAGATGACATTAGATGTGATGTGGATGAAGATCGTATGGATTAGAACAGGACTGTGCATTTTTGTTTCTTTCCCATCTGTGCCTCTTTTTTTGTTGTCAAATTGTGTATCTGACAGTATTTTGACACATTTTGAACCAAAGGCCACATAGTTTGGATTATTTGTTGATCACTGGCTGCAATTTCATGTTGATAGTATTGTAAAGCTTTAATTTCTGCAATTTTGTCGCTTACAATTTTTTTTCCACTGTACATTCTATAAAGTAAAGATGACTCATTCACTTTTGCATAGTTTGTTGCCAAAAATGTAGGGTGGTTTACAGTAAAAGGAAACAATGGATTTCTCATTGTCTACTGTTTGCAGGTAGAGCTGAAACATGAAAAGTTATGGAGCTTTTTTTAATGCTATCAACTGTTTGTATTTAGAAAGTTGTTGTGCTATGATTGATTGATCTGTTCCTCTTGGAAAGAAAATGTGCTAGTGTTTTGACAGAATGATTTGATTTTGAGTCAGGTTTGCTGTGTTTTGATAGAGTGTGTGTATATAGAGAATGTTTTTTTGCATTTTGAAATATAGAGTTGGTGTTGGTGAACAAAATGTGGGTTTGAGCAGAAAATTTACTATTTGGCTAATTGTGTGAGGTAGGTGTGTTGCTGTGCTAAGAGTTTCGATAAAGTATCTTACGTTTAGGTAAACGCTTGTTAGTAATTGAAAAAAACTGTAACACCAAAGTGGAAAAACTGCAGTTCCTTGAACGACCACCAGAGGCTGGCTCCAACAGTGAGTCAGTCTCCATAAGGCCCCATATTAAAATGAAATACATATTTACAGCCTGGTTCAAACTGGTCTCTATAGGTACATTCTCTGTTTCTGACAACTGTATGAGGAGTGAATGTTTATACAGCTCACTCCTTTAAATTATATAAAGACTTAAAGTTATACATAATTAAAGGCTGTTACAGGTGGCGTTCAGTGACCAGGCTACATTCAGCGGAGTCAGGGCTGCCAAGATGGTGACGGTTAGAGCCGACCACTGAGCTTCACAACGGCTCTTCAGAAACCTCTGGGTGACGTCACAGAGACTACAGCCATTTTTATTGATCCAGTGTCTGATCATAGCATCACTGCACAAATGATACATTATTAATATATTATTATATAAAGACAAAATCACAAAGCTTTGTTGTTCACAAACACACTGTCCTGATTAATAAACTGCTGTGTCGTGGATTCATGACTCAGGGAAGTTGGCAGGTTGGTGGCTGGAGAAGCTTACTGGAAGGTCACAGGTTCAATTCCACCAAGCTGTGTCCGTCTGCTGCAGCTGTGCTCTTTAATGTTCATGAACTACACAAACTTTAGTCAGCTTCATTGCTAATATCTTTGTATCTGTGCAACACGCAGCACCCTCTATCCTTAGAAAGAATCACTGTCACTGATTTAAAGTTGAATTTAAAATGAGGGAGAAAGCTTAGAAAGAGCGACAGAGGGATCTCTCTTCCAGGATGGATGGAACTGCTGCTGTATGTACAGAGCACACACAATGACAAAGCTCTGAAGTACATTCAGTTAGCAGCACTTTCTCTACACGTTTGGAAGGGGAGTGTGAGGCGCTTTGGTTGCAGTCTGCAATCTCACCACTAGATGTCACTAAATCCTACACACTGGATCTTTAAAGAGGAAGTTCCTGTCAAAATAAAGGTCCTTTTGTGTGCAATGTGCTGCCTCTCTCTCCCTCATTGTGGTGCTGTCTGATAGTTGCTGTCCCTATATGCAGCAGCCCTCTCTGATTAGATTCTACCTAAAACAGTCTGAACACACAGAAACATCAAAAACAGTCCCAACACACAGTTTGACATTTTTCAGCTTTTATTCAAACGTTTGTATAGAAATGATGAAGCACTGCCTGAGATTACATGATAGCTTCCAAATGCATCATCAGCAAACAACAGAAACATACATGAACTTTGAGACAATTCAAACATCAGTCAGCAACACTTTATTATGCAGGACTGTTGTATTAGCCTGCATTAGCTTTAGCTAGGTGGACCTAATAAACTGGACACTGAGTGTGGAGTTCAGTGTGGAACTGTACCTGACACACTCTGACTCACCTTAACAAATAAACAAACAATACAGGGTTGTCCCAAATAATGTCAATAACACAAATATGTCAATAAAACACAAAGTCACATTATATTTCACTTTAGCTGCAAAACATTCCCATTCATTTCCAGTAAGAGCAGCTTTAGTTCAGTGAAGGCTTTTAATGGCCATGTGTAGCTCAGTTAGGACCTTTAACAACTACAAGCAGTCTGATAATATTGGTAAATAGACAGTGTTTATACTGCACTTCTGCCCCTCATTCATCCATTCACACTCACTCACTCACTGATGGCAGAGAGCTACCATGCAAGGTGCTGCTCTGACCATCAGGAGGCGTTTTTGGTCTGAGCCCCTTAGCTTTAAACACTGATATCAAATTCTCTTTTATCAGAAGTTGACTTTAATCAGGTCCCTTTTAACTTGGTCCATTTGAATTCTGCTGTGTGTTACTTTATTTGATGTCATTACTTGTTCTATTATCCTGCTTTGCTGTCTCATTATTTATCACATTAGTTTGTTTCTGTGTAGCTCCGTCTTATTCATCGAGGTGCTACAGTATAATGTCCTCAACAAGAGTCCAGTGGGCAGTTTGATTAGGACTTTACATTATGCTGCCTGGAATGAGATTCATCTAAAAAAGAAAAGAATAAAAGCAACAGAACAGAGTGCAAGAAGTCGTCTTTGTCCTCAACCACATTAATAACAGAGTAAAAGTGTGTTTAGTCAAAATTTGTTCTCTTAAAGCTGCACAAGAGTGGAACTCAATCACAGCAAATATCAAAATATCAATATCAACACAAACTATTCATTCAGTTCTCATTAACAGAATGAACCTGAAACTAATGTAACTTTAACCTTAAAACCAGGTCTTAACCATTAAAGTGAGGAGCAGCCAAAATGTCCTCACTATCATACAGTATGGTCTAAAACTCAAAGTGATTCTCACAAAGTTTAACTGCTACAGCACACACACACTGGAGCAGACAACTGAACAGCACACCGAGAGATAGTTACGATTCTGGATCAGCTAATTTCCTGAGGCTTGTCGATGAATTGGGTTCTTCTGATGTGTGATCTTGCTTTTTCTCGTCTGCAGGAAGCAAAATAAAGTGATACATTATCCAAAATGACTTGATCCTAATCTGAGTGTAAATACCAACAGAATGATTAATGTCTGAGAACATAAAACAACCGTAAAGACTTGGGAATGTGTTGTGTTTCTGCTAATTATAAATATATTAACACAATACATTATTTGAACTTACCTTTCTTACAATTTAGTTTGATGCAACCCTTGCATACAAGCACAGCTAAAACCCCACTAACAACAATAAGAGCGAAGAAAAGAGTACCAAGAACTGCACCAACAATCCATCCAGTGGAGTCTGAAACAGATGACAGAGAGTGAATGTGACACTCAGAATGTAAGTGTATATCACACACAGCAGATTGGACATCAGCCACACAAACAACAACTAAAGGTGTGTATGCTCCTGAAATGTCCACAGCTGAGAGCTTGGTTGTGGTTCTGCTCACAGTAGTGAGGAGGGTGATGTTGTAGCATCGTCCTGTTTCTGAGACGTGCTGCTCATCAGTAGAAGACTGTTTGAATCACTGTCCTGCCTCCTCTACTTCACACTGTTTCCATGGGACTTGTGTTAAACTGCTGCTGTGCCTGAGATCTGCAAATGTGTGTGACAATGTGTGTACAGCCCAGTTCTCTACACCCTGAGCCCAGGCTGTGATGGACTCTGGATTACGTCTTATAAACACATCTTTATTTGATCATGGTTGTTGTTACAGCTCGTATTGATGAGCTTTGTTCAAATCAAATATCACCCATTCAGCTGAATGTGCAGCTTAGCTCGCTTTCTGCTTCACTGAGCAGTAAAAGTACAATTCTGAGCTACTTTACTGAGTATTTCCATTTGATGCTGCTTTATACTTCAACTTCACTACATTTCAGAGGGAAATATTCCACTTTTTACTGCACTACATTTGACAGATAGAGCTACTTACTTTGATTTCACATATAAAACATGTGATCTATGTACACAATATAATACTTTTTATAATAGTTTTGCTACTTTATATTGAACTGATGGTGGAATTGTGAAAGCAGGACTTTTACTTGTAACAGAGTATTTTTACTTTGTAGTTTTGCTACTTTTCCTTAAAGTAAATAATCTGATTACTTCTTCCACCACTGAGTGCTGTCCACAAATGTGAAGATTCAAATGTTTGTGTTGTAGATTCAGTGATAAAGCTTTCAGTGTGTTTCCTGTGCTGAGAGAAATCCAGAGCAGAGTTATTGATTGGTAGCTTGTTGCTTCATTTACTGCACAACAATGTGAAGTTCAACCTATTTACACTGAATACTTCTGCTGTCAGGAAGCTGCAGGCACAATCACACATCTGACTGGAAACCACAGCTGGAGAATCGCACTGTGTCGCCATTTTGTGTCCTCTGTGCTACAGCCTTATGCTTCAATCCTACATCAGCTGTGATTGGTTGAATCAGCCCACATGCTTCAGTGAGCTGCACACAGTCACATTTAATACAAAGCACAAGCCAAATGTTAGTAAATGTGGGAAGAGGTGAACATTAGTGAACTCCTGCTTTCACACTCAGAGGAGGAGGATTCCTGCTCACATTTACAAATCACATTGTGACACTTTCACTCTTGTTTTCATCTCCATTTTCACTTCAACTCAAAACCTGATGCTGGATTTGAAGTTAGTTCTGCTTGGAATCAACCAACACTCTGCTGCAGTCAATGAAGCTACATTTCTACCAACATGTTTGTCATCTGGGACCCTCACTGCAACACAATGCTACTAATGACAAGTTTCCATTGTGCAGTAAGAAGTGACACTCAAAGCAAAGCTACTTAATCTCTTTTTCTGTTTGTCTCACCATTAAGAGGCACAGCATATGTGTCAGCAGAAATCTGATGGTTGATTTCCTCCTGTGTAACTACACAGATGAAGGTGTCAGCCTTGGTTACAGGAGCTTGCACGATGACGTCGTAGCTTCCTCCTCTTTCTGTGACCTGTGGTTCTTTAGCAGGAAGGATGTTTCCAGCACTGTCCTTCCACTCTACTTTAGGTTTTGGAGAAACACCTTCAACAGCACACTGCAGCAGCATCCCATCCTTTGTTTTACGTGTTGTAACATACGGCTTTGAAGCTGCACCTGTGAACATAATATAGAATGGTAGAAAGTTAGAAGTTTTTTAATTTACAACTGCAAACATCATTTCTGGCTCACATCATGACAGAAGTAAATATACAGTGAAGATTATCTTCAAATAATATCACATTAAATCTGTTGCCTGATATGTGAACAATATTTCCTATTACCATACATTATTATTAGTAATATAAAATGTGTGAAACAGGGTGTTAAAAGCATGTGCAGGCCTTGTGTTATCAGGGTTTCATTGTGTCAGTGACACAAACATTGATTGATAATATGTCAACATTTCTAACTTCCCACCAAAAGTTTGTGAACTATTTACAACTGCAAACACTATTTCTGACTGAAATCATGACATATACAGCAAATATACATTATCCTGAAATAATCTCACATTAAATCTGTTGTCTGATAGATTGACAGTATTTTCTATCCCACTACATTAATATAAAATGTGTAATAAAATATGAAACATAGGGTGTTAAAGCATGTGCAGCCCTTGTGTTATCAGGGTTTCACTGTGTCAGTGACACAAACACTCAGTGGTCACTTTATTAGGTACACCTGTACAATCTAATGCAATCAATACGACTGTTGTGTCATTAAGTTCCTTTATTGATGTCTATAATGTTCACTTTGTTTCTACACTGTCAGAGAGCTGTTCATTCAATCATATGTGTTATCACTGAGCTCATAGTTAGTGGTGCTGTTGTACTGGACTGCATTATATTCAGAGGGGATTCTAATATTCTGTCTCTCTCATGTGTGTAAACAGGGAGGACAATAAAATAGAAACAGCTCTCAGTATAATGTAGTCCAGTACAACAGCACCTTTAATATGAGCTCAGTAACAAACATAAACATATAGTTTCATTTACACATTTCTCACAAAGTCAACAAAAAGTGAACATTACAAACTTTGGAAAGGTGGAATTTATGGCAGAGCTGTTGTATTGAATTATAATATCTACATATTTATACTACAGTCCATACTGTATATATCATCTATAGTGTATCCACCATGTTCATATCAGAGCTGTTTATTGTGGATATAATGTCTTCCACTTATACAGCACTATATATTGTGCCTACTGTACTGCTGCACATGTTCATACTGTATATATCTCAGTGGATTCATATCTAGCCCTTACTGTTTATTCTATTTATTAGCCCTGTACATATGGACACACTCTGCACTCAACTGCTGTTTGTACTTCTGCTTAGAAGCTCAGCTGCATTGTGTTGTCTCAGTACTTGTACTCTGTGCAATGACAATGTGATGTGAACTTAATGATGTTGGAGTAATAATGGAATCTAATTTACTTCTTCAATAGGTTTCAATTGTTCTTTTGTAGCCAACAGCAGCTGATGAAAGATTTCACTGGAGTACGTTCACACTGCAACACTTAGAGCTCAATTCTGATTTATTGCTCACATCGGATTCTTTTTGTTTGGCTGCTCACGTTATTGTTTGAATATCAGATTCCAGTGTGAACAGGTCCCGGTCCTGAAGTGAGCAGCATGATGAATGTGGACGCACACACACACACACACACACACACACACACACACACACACACACACACACACACACACACACACACACACACACACACACACACACACACACACACACACACACACACACTAATTACAACAATTGTATCAAGTAGATTCCAACAACCTGAAACTTTCCTACGATGTTGCAACAAAGTATGAACAGACTGAAATGTGCCAACAGAGAGCCGTCACTCAAAGGGAGAACACATTTCCACCCTTTTTGGTATCATATGAAAGTAGGTGTTAATATTTACACAGTGCTGAGCGCGGGTGCACAGTACCCTATCCTATGTAGCACTCCACTAGTGGGAGGATGCATCGGGTTGTGCCAGTGGTAAATCCAATAGAAAGCAAGCAGTCAGTACAGAGAGATAGAATCCTCATTACATTGAAAAATGCATTCAAATAATGCTTGTTGGTAATGTATTAGTGACCCCCCCACAGACGGAGGGTTTTACTGCTTTCATGGGAGCTCAGACCCCTTCTTATGGGAGCTCCACTGCCACTGGCTCCCACAGAACTCCAACCCTGGTTCACACTGCAGACACAAGTGGCCCAAATCTGATTGATTGGATCATTAATGGGACTCAGATCTGATTGTTTTAGAACAGTGTGAACAGCACCAATCACACTGAATCTGATCTTTTACATTCTGATTTGGGCCACTTTCATACAACAGTCATATTCAAATTCATGTGACTTTTACGTCACTCTAGATCCACGTTGGTCACGCGGTTCACTTCAGGACCGGGACCTGTTCACACTGGAATCTGATATGGGCCACATCTTAAACATAATGTGAACAGCCAAACAAAACAAAGAATGTGATGTGAGCAATGAATCAGAATTGAGCACTAAGGCTTGCAGTGTGAACGTAGCTGTCCCAAATCAGAGTTTAAAAGATCACATTCATGTGATTGAGTCACATATGAGCAAAACTATCTGATTGGGCCACTTTTACCTGCAGTGTGAACGCAGCACATTGTCTCCAAAGGAAGGAGAGCATTCTCATTATTTGATCTTTAAAACTACAGCTTTGTTATCTTTTATCATTTGAATTGATCAATCACTCTACAATCCATACTAATTCAATTCTGATCAAATATTTCACATTGACCAAATCAGCCCCGAATGAGACGAGAGGTGAACTGTTCCAACAATAATGAGACAAACATGAGGCCTGTCCAAACCTTTCCCTGAGATTCATACAGTACTTTTTATTGCACTCAACTAATATAAAAACTCTTCTGAAATATGAAACACAGGCTTTTTAAAATCAAACACACCTCGTTTCAGAAATTGGATCAGTGAGAAATTTCTGCTCAACATTGTCGTGCTGCTCAGATCTCAAATTCAGGTTTTGGCGACAGGTTTGACTCACTGACTATAACTCAGATTAACAAACATTTAGAGACAGACGGGGACGAGGAGTCAAGGACTGCGCTTCACTACAAGTTTGAGCTACTTGTACTTTACTCTAGTATTTTCACTTTATACTACTTTATACTTCTACTTCACTACATTTCAGAGGGAAATATTGAACTTCTTTACATTTATCAGACTGATGTAGTTATTTAATTTGATCTAACATACAAACACATGATCAACATATAAAATATAATACTTTTTTATTATACTTTTGCTTCTTTAAGTACATTCTGCTGATACTCATCTCAGACTCAAATCCTCTGTAAAGATTTAGTAGGTGTTGCTCTGTTTCTGTCTGTCTATATCAGGGGTCACCAACACAGGTCGCCCCCCAAGGACCACTTGAGTCGCCCGCAGGCCTGTTCTAAAAATAGCACAACTCACCAGTGTTGAAGTTGGAAAGGTCAAAGTTTTGAGGCCATGACAAAATTTCAGCATTCGCGGGCGCAGCGAAGATCGGGAGCTGAACGCGGTTTCTTACCCCAAAAACATGGCAGAAAAAGAAAGAAAACGTATCATTTTCACAGTGAATGGGAGGGAGAGTTCTTTTTTACTACTGCGAAAGAAACCTGCGTGTGTCTCATTTGCGAGGCGACTGTGGCGACGGCAAAGTGGAACAATGTGGAGAGACACTTCATTACGTGTCACAAGAGCTACCACGCCAACTACCCAGCGTGCAGTGCGCTACGGGTAGAATAAGCCTGGGAGCTAAAGGCAGCTTTGGGTAAGCAGCAGTCTTTTTCACGAGGCCGGCGAAAGACTCCCAAAAAGCAACCGAAGCCTCGTTTAGAGCTACACATTTTCTGATAAAGAAGAAGAAGAAGGCATTTTCAGACGGAGAAGTTGTCAAAGAAGCAATGATGATAATTGCTAACACTGAGAAAGATGGAACTGATTGAATCTCCACTCTCTCCGATGTCCAACTGGGGGCATCTACGATGGATAGACGAGTGTCGGCTATGTCCGGTAACTTGGTCGTTCAGCTGGACCGGGATCTGTTGGAGGAGATGTCAGCTGAATATGGTGACCTGCTGCTACACACAGGAATCCGATGGCTCAGCAGAGGACGAGTTTTACTTCGTTTGTTGCCCTTTTGGGTGAAATCAAAGAGTTCATGCAGTCCAAATGCGAAGACGTCTCGCTGCTAGAGGACACAGAGGGGACACTTGACCTTGCATTTTTAATGGACATTACTGGGAAACTAAACCACTTGAACTGCGAGCTGCAAGGTAAAGGTAAGACTGTTGTTGATATGATAAGTGCTTTAAATGCATTTAAAGCCAAGATGAACATTTTCTCTGTGCATTCACAGAGAAAAAGGTGCTGCACTTTCCCTCTGTGCTGTCGGTGCTGAAAGACAATGCTTCTGCATCTGAGACATTCGACAAAGTTGCAGAAAAGTACTGTCAAGTCATAAACAGACTTGGGCAAGAGTTTGAGAATAGGTTCTGTGACCTTGATCAGCTTGAGCCATGTGTGTCATTCATCTCCAATCCTTTCTTGAACGTGGACATAACATGCATGGCTGAACAACTAAGTGCAACGTTCAACTTGGATGCTGGACTTTGGAAGTTGATTGTTCTTAAACACTACATAATTGATAACCTTTTCAAACATGGTGCAACATAGTTCATGATTTGTTTAAAGTTTAGTGGCTAATGAAATGTTGTTGAAGGGATCATCTGAAAATTTAAACAATTGCTGAGATTAATAGAAATAAAGAGTTAAATATTGATATTATCTGTTTCCCACCTTGTTAAGTCGTTGTTGATAATTATTGTGAGAAATCATTAACGTGATCAGTGTCTTCACATAGATGAGTATCATTAATCATTAATGATGTTATATAACTAAAGGCAAACTGAGCAAATTTGTTATTTCAGAAGAGTGTATCAAACTGGTAGCCCTTCGTATGACTCAGTACCCATAAAGTAGCTCTCAGTTTCAAAAGGTTGGTGACCCCCGGTCTAGATGTATTCAGGAATGTTTAATATGGATTCATTCAGAAGCTGTGGCTCAATGAAATGACCAACACCCTTCACCTTGACAAAATAAGGTTCTCTCTGAAGAACAGACAGTCACAGTTTGATCACATCTGGCTGCCCTTTGTCTGCTACCTGAGAAACAACCAATAATGTACACTCCCTGTGTACTTTACTGGCCAATACAATTTCCATCGCTTGTTCTTTTACTATCTTTCCACTGCAACCTTTATTGTTGTACAGTACTTCCTGAGCAGAAGGGAGGGAGGGGGGGAGGGAGGGTGAGTTCAGAGTATATGTTGTTCAGTTAAGTGATGTTGATACTATCTGTTGTATTAGCTTTGCTTCTCTTCAATGAAAATGTACACTGCACTCTCATGTCCTACATTTTGGAATCCTTCCTCAATAAAACAGACTTGACAAAAACAATGTGGATTCATTCAGAGAGAAATCTGCTGCCTAACTTCTCCTTTCAGCAATATCTGATTATTGTGTCAAATATAAAGGAACTGTCCTTAAAGTAGTAAAGTAATGTATATTTAGTCAGAGTGAGTTCAAAGCTGTGATGATGTTTGATGGTTCATGTTGTCATTGTCACTCAGAGTCAGATTATTTTCTATGAGCTCTTCTACTCACTCAGCAGCTCATATATTGTGTTTATGTAGCAAACTAGTTTTATCACTTGGTTCAATCAGTTCAACCACAGTCACACCTAGTAGTTAGTATGAGCTCATATTTACACCAACAGGCTCAACTGTAACAATCAGTGTGTGTGCTGGAACTCATTGTAGTTTGGTGCTGCACTAATCTTTGTTCAATAATCACATATATGTACATTGAAGTTGTCCAGGTGTGAACTCACAAACAGCCGGTGCAAGAGATTTCAAACAGGCAGTACAGGCAGCCTGTGGAGCTGCACTACAGGCCTCGTTTTGTGCACGCTGCCATCTCAACTGGAAAGTAGCCACAAACTATAGAGAAAGGAGGCTCAGAGTTGGGGCTGACCTTCAGTCTGTGCACGCCAGTGAACAAGTGGCAGTGACAAGAGCTGGGAATCACAAGAGGGTTTTTATGTCACTGAAAAATAGCTTTAGTGTTGGAACATCCATTCAGTGACACATCTGAAGAGCGAGTATTTCATCTCATCAGCCTCTCGTCATCAAAAAGCTTGTTGGTAAAAATGTAATGTGACTGTTGATTTGCAACCTGCAAACCTCCAAAAGGCAGCAGAAGTTCTGCTTCAGGAGACAGAGCTCAAATGTTTCAGTACTAAAAGTTTCATGCTGCACTTCTCAATGAGCACAGTTTCTCTGAAACACAACAACAACATGAACACAACAGGGTGGGAAATATAATAATGTGAGTTGTTCTTCCTCCACTGACTGCTGTCCAGTGAAGTCCACATTAAAATCATTATGTGCTTCTTGGTGGTGGGTTGGCTCTGTGTGTGTGTGTGTGTGTGTGTGTGTGTGTGTGTGTGTCTGTTCTTTCTGTTATTTCTCTCCAGACTCTCTCATTCTTCCCTATCTCTGGACATTAATGAAGTGGAGTCTCAGAATAAGAGTGAATTTAAAAGCCAGTTCAAAAAATGTTCAACTTGTGTAGACGTCTTCATCACATTTTCCTTTGTGTTCAGTCTGAATAAATGTTAACGTACAACAAGTATTTGAATATAAAAATAGAACTAGGAAGAATCTCACCATTAAGAGCATATATGTCAGCAGAAATCTGATGGTTGAGTTCCTCCTGTGTAACTACACAGGTGAAGGTGTCGGTCTTGGTTACAGGAGCTTGTAGGATGACGTCGTAGCTTCCTCCTCTTTCTGTGACCTGTGGTTCTTTAGCAGGAAGGATGTTTCCAGCACTGTCCTTCAACACTACTTTAGGTTGTGGAGAAGCACCTTCAACCTCACACTGCAGCAGCAACCCATCATCTGTTTTACGTGTTGTGATAAACGGCTTTGGAGCTGCACCTGTGAACATAACAAAAGCTATAAGATAATATTAAAGAACATGATACATCTTTTTTTTTTAGGTTTAATTGCACCTCCCAGCATTAGTTCTTCAATTTCTACCAAAAGAACACTTTATTCTGACTCACATCATGACAGAAGACAACCTTTGACTACTTAAACATATTTATTCTACACATATTTATTCTACGTTAAAATTATCTTGAAATGATATTGCATGAAATTTGTTGTCTGATATGTAAACAATATTTTATATTACACTAAAGGAATATTAAAATGTGTTATGAAATGTGAAACACAAATTGTTATCTTCTGAAGTTTGTAGGATTGAGCTGCCAGTTATGTTAATGTTGCTTTTTCCTGTTTATTTTAGTTATAAAAGCTAATTTCTGTAATTTGGTTTCTTTGGTTTTAATAATTAACATATTACAGTATACTGTTCGTTCCAGGCCTTTTAGTTGAACAGGAAATGACATAAATAAATAAATGGGTTGTGAATACATGTAAAACAGGTAATAATTTGATTATGCAGATTATGTTATTGATATAGAGGCTAAAATGAGAATAAATGAAGCAAAAGTTTGAAGGAAACTTTTGGAGTCTCTGTTGATTATAAATGATGCTGGAAACAAATAATGTCAAATCCAAAGTATCAAACTCATTTACACTACTGCCACACTCTGTGGAGTCAGAATGTTTTACTTTGTACAATTCAATTTATGGAGAAATGCACCAAGTTTTTATACAACTAGAGACCCATAAAATATTGACACATTGATTTATTACTAATATGTTTTTCCTGGAATTAGAAATATTAAACCATGTTAAATGTTTTCAAACATTATAAAAATGAAGCTGATTTAAAATGTATGGTACAACTCCACTATTGAGAGGTTTTGTATTAATTGCCTCTCTGTTAGTAAATGTGAACAACAGTTTGTTTCAGAGACAGAAAATAAATCCAAAGTCACATAAAGTCCAGAGTAAATCTTAAAGTCCAGACTCTACAGAGCTAATAAATAAATAATAATAATAATAATAATAATGAATGAGTGTTGTAAATGGTCTCTGGAGCCAAACTGAAAACACAGCATGAAGATGGAGGGAGTGACGTCATCAGAGCCAGGACTCACCTTTGACCCCAGGGTATCTGTTTCTTAAGATAGGATCTGAAAGACAAAATAAAACAGAATTATGTTAAAGTGTTTGTCTGACATTGTCAACATGGAACACAGATAATACTGGAAAAACATTAAACTTGTTATTCTGATTATTAAACTGATTAAATAAATAAAAAGAAGCCAGAGTTTTATATTTCACAAACGATCTTAATCTGACTGAACATTCACAGATGAGACTGGTTTTATGTCCTGGAAGAGAAAACACATCTAACAGCACCGTGTGAAGCAGCTGCCTCCAGAAGAGATCTCATCTGATCAAACATGGTCAATAAATGTGGCACATCACAGATCTGCTCATTGTAAACCTCTGACTGCTGCTGGACCAGAAGCCTCAGGAGGAGGTCTTAAGAAGTAAGTTGAAGGATATCTTTGAGTAATCTGTCTTTATTACAGCTGACACTGCTGGTTGTGGATCCTCTGTCTCACAAAACTGATGATCATCAACTTCCTTTGTTAACCCAGAACTTTCCAAACCAGCTGTGAGTGCTCTCATAAGGAACATCCTTTATAACAACCCACATGCAGGGCTTTCCTTAAAGAAACTTTTTGACATTTTGGGATATTAAATGCTTATTTGCATTTTGGTGAAGAGTTAGATGGTAAAATTATTATCACTCTCTTATCTGTACATTAAATATAAAGCTACAGCCAACAGCCGGTAATCTCAGCACAAAGACTGGAAACAGGGGAAACAGTCTGTGTCTGCTGAACAGTGAAATAATCCACCTACCAGCTCCTCTAAGGTTCACTAACTAACATGTTGTTTAATCTGTATAAAACCTTAAGTGTAAAAGCAACAAGTTAATGTTTAATAGGGCTTATGAACCGGACTATTTCTGCCGTCCTTTACCTTGCTCAGAATGAACTTTACAAACAGCAATATGACTCAATGAAAGGGAAACATATAGAACTTCAGCAGTATGGAGGGAACTCTCTTCCCAGTGTTTATCCAACAGTTTATCTGTTTGTTTGTTTCACAGGGACAGCACACTATGAAACATAAACAGTTAGAGAGGAAACAGAAATGCCACAGATTGGATGTGTATGCAGCTTCTACACAAAGCTACAGCAGCCTCCGTCCTCAGGACAGGGCCTCGTCCAGATGTGTTACTCTGACTGTCTGATGGCAGCTGGAGCTCATGTGGCACACTTGAACCAGTCTCTGTGTCTGTGAATGAGCAGCATCTTTACAGCTGTTTGATGGAAGCACTCACCAATAAGAAGCTCAATGCGGGATCGTCTTTGTGGCTGATGTCGAGGAAAATCACAGGTGTAGGTTCCACTGTCAGACACCTGTGTGTTTCTGATAACTATGGAGGCATTACCCGACTGCACAGCTTCTGGAAAATGAAAGACCCGTCCTTTGAACTGTGGGTCTTGACCTGGACGGCCATTATTGTATTCATCACGCTTATCATACAGGAACACCTCCTGACGATCTCTCTTCCAGTCAAAGAGCTCTTCCTTAATGCTGGATGTGCCGAGGGAACAGGGTAAAATGGCATCACTCCCTTCCATCACCACCAGTTTGATGACAGGTGGACCTGGAAGACAAACATTGTATAATCAGTGTGTTCATATGTAGAACCAAAGTCAGATTTACAATCACTCAAAAACACCAGTTTATGAGCAGTTTAGTGAACAGTCAGATTTCAGATTACCTACTGAAACTGCTAGGATTATTATTGGTGGTGAAAATGTCACATGGGTTTCACCCATGGGCGTGACAAAATGGCTCCATAGAAAATCAAGTTACCCTCAGTATTGTATTGATATCGATAAAACCATAAATAATATGGATAATGTGGTTAGTGGCTCCAACATGTTTTTGTAAGCGTGAGACCAAAGTTGGCAATGAATCAATGATCCAGAGAAACACAAAGATAAGATGCCAGTTTCCACCAGTTGACATGGTTGAGCAGTGGGTATCTGAGGTTTAACACTGAGTTGGTTTAAATCCTGTATAATAAAATGTATCTGACACCAGAGGCCAATCACTGTAATCCACAGCAGATTTAACCTGTGGAGTTCCACAAGGCAGCACAGAGACAGCACTGGTTAAAGTTACTAACAACCTTTTAACTGCATCAGACAACGGACTCTCTGTACTTGTCTTGTAGAAGGAGCAGAAAAACTAATCCATGCATTTGTTACTTCAAGGCTGGATTACTGCAACTCTTTATTATCAGGTTGCCCCAATAAGTCCATTAAAACGCTCCAATTAATTCAGAACGCTGCAGCACGAGTACTGACAGGAACTAGAAAAAGAGATCACATCTCTCCTGTACTAGCTTCTCTGCATTGGCTCCC